ATGCGGCATAGCAATTTTTAACCAATAGAGCTGATACTTTTGCCAATTTTTTTTTACCCTAACTTTGCACAAAATTGGCCCACGATTTTGAAGTCGATAAGTTTTCAATTCCCCCACACATTGAGGGTCCACCTTAATGTATATATGTACATATGTACACAAGTATACAAGCATATTTGTAGGGATAATATTTAGTTGTTCATTTAAACAAGTTATATTTTTAGCTGAAGAAGAAATACATACAAACATATATGAATATATACATATAATCGCCCACACATGAATATTTTGGTGAAAAAATAAGAAAATATTTACTTATGAAGGAAACTATGGTGGTTCTTGGAAGTACAAAGTAGACTTGTTTTTAACAATAAAAAAACTGCTTTAGAAACTCTATCTTTTCCGAATTTCTTTGTTGTTACTTTATGCCTTATCTTTCCGTCAATTCATTATCCGTAACACACGCCTGCGAAATTTAACTTTTTTCTCCTTCCAATGATTATGGTATTTTTGTAATATCTGGCCGGCCGCTGTGGTGTAGTAGTTAGCAGAGCACGCTACCATTCCGCAGGGCCAGGCTTCAAGCCCGGTTCAACCCAATATCAAAAAAATAAAAAAAATTATTTTCTAATAGCGCTCACCTTTCGGATGGCAATAGCAAACCTCCGAGTGTATTTCTGCCATGAAAAACAGCTTCTCATCAAAATACAATCGTCGTTCGGAGTCGGGTAAAACTGTAGGTCTCAACCGCGAAACCATTCTAAAAAAAATTCTCAAAACGCGATTTTTTAGTCGGTTAAAACTTGCACTTCAATAGACTAAAATTGTGTGGGCTATAAAACTGCATACCCAAAATATTCAGTTTAAAAAGTTTAAATTTTGATGAAAATTTTCCAAAATTGTGTATAAAATTTGAAACTGTGATTTATATATTTTTGGTTAAGGCTTAGGCGGTATTTTATAGAAAAAAACCAAACAAAATTTAGCTCGAAAAACAATTCGAATACTTAAAAAAATCAACACGTGTTCATTTGTTTCAGTCGCTGTATGTGATAAAGCCTATTTATATGAAAATCAATTTATATATGTAAATAAAGTTTCAATTTGAACAATCAAAAAGCTAGAAATTTTAATGAAACTTTGTTTATTTTTTTATGTTGTACAAAGTTTCTAATTTGAATTTAAATGATTTTTGCTATAGAATGATCTGTGTTATTATAAAATTATAAATCGAATTAATTAAAAAAAAAAAATTATTCGTCAAAACGTATGAATATTTGGGTGACCTTATACATATGATGTCCCGCACCATATGTGGAAAAACTATTCTGTCCCGATAACTGTTCTAAAGACCTTAAAAATAATTCAAGAGCATCCGACTCCATGCTGCCTTTATCACTGGGAGAAACGACTGACGAAGACTTTGCGTCGTTATCCCTTCTTTTATAACTCCTGTTGTACGAATCGGTGAATTATTTTGCCGAAATATTTAAAAAAAAAAGTCCGAGAATAAAGGTATATTTAACTTTTTTTGCTGTAACTTTTGTCCGCCGAAAGTAGGGGTGAAGGTTGAGATCTAATCTTAAATACATCTTAAAAAGAAACGAAATCATTTTTTATCTTCATTCGTTAAAAGTAAGCAAGCTCCTTTCTGTTGGAAACAAATAAAACTTTGATACCAGGAGCTTTGCAAAATGTACTTCTGCACCCGATCCACCCATCACTTTAGCATATTATCTGCGGTACGGAAAATTTCCTATCTTAAAGCAGCTAAATACATACATAGCTACTTATTCGCAATATGGTAAAAATGCCAAAAAAAATCTTCAAATTGACTGGCAACAGCAATTAAGCGTTGACTAAATAATATTTGCAGTCAAATCATTTTGCGCTTCCATTGCTAATGAGAGTGAAATATTTTTATGATGGTGAGAAATACAAAAAAAAAAAATATAAGAATGCACCAATACATATATAATAATGTTTATAATATAAAGGCCTATATATGTATGTACATAAGTATGCACTTTAGGGTGGCAATTGTGTTATATACACACATACTATTTATTTCAACAGTGTTAAGTCCACCACGATTTTTTCTAGCTGCCATTAATTGAAATATGCTATGTAAGGAAATGGATAAGAAGCGAGAGCTAAGCTCAGCGGGCATCAATGAAGCGGGTTCGATGCCTTTTAAAATCTAGAAAAGAAGTCTCTCGAGGAGATCTGGTGGTCTCCAAAATAGCAGCATTAAATTCTACCGCTTAAACTTTGTTGCTTTAATTGTATTAAATGCCCTAAAGCAAACTATTCAACTGACTGCAATTTTTCGTAAAAACATTTACACACAAATAGCCCATACTAAATAAATGCTTTCCAAAAATAATTTAGGAAGGTCTTCTTAAGTTCAGCCATTCTAAAAGAAGTATAATTTTTAATGAATTAAAGCAGCAGTTTTAGAAGAACTTCTCTAAAGTGCCTTCTGAAGTGCGCCCTACAAAAACAAAAGCCCTTGAAGCACTTTATGGGTAGCGAAAGCCACTCCATCCACAAAAGAACGGAGAAAGGAGTAAAGAGTGGCAGCCCTTTTAACTCTCTGGAAGGCCTTATGGAACGCCTTTTAGCTATTTAAATTATCTATTTGCGACAGTTGATTAAAGAAAAAATAAAAAATTCACGGACATAACTGAGAATCCCAATTTTTTTCATTAGGGTGGTCCTTAAATTTTCAACATAATAGGCGCTTTTATTTTGTTCTACGGGCAAAATTACGGCATCCACGAAAATTTCAAAATTTACAAAAGAATTACCACACAAAAATTCGACAAAATTTTGACTCAGCGAGTTTATGAATTTATATGAATAAGTTTCAATAATATGTCAAATTTATCACATTTCAAGTAAAAATTTTGACGTAGTTCTGGGATTTAAAAATTTGAATTTTTTCAAACCTTGGCACGGACCCCTTAAAATTTGTTACGTAGAACAAAATGAAGGTGTGCTGCTTGCAAAAATTAAGATGTTAATATTTTACGACCACCCTTATGTAAATATGATATTTTTTATAACCAATATTTACAAAGCTCGTTCATTTTTCTACAAACTCTGAAAATTTCAAGTCCTTTGACAAAATGTTTTTATTCTTAATTAGTATACAAAACCTCAACCTTACTAAAACATATTTCGAAAACGACGTTTACAGGATATTGAGGGTTATCTATTCCAAAAAACAAATATGGCTATCTCGATATCACGGAAAAAATTATCCGTTTCGGGAATTCTCACCCATTTTGTATAATGCGTTCAAAAGTATTTAATATATTTCGTTTTCTGACAAACGGGAAATTTTGGTAATACACTTTTAAAGAAGATATGCGATTTGTGCGTTTAAATTTTTAAAATGCCATTTTCTGTACTAAAAAATGTTCAAGCATGTAAATCAAATTCAGTCAAAAGAAGGCGAAGTTGTTCGAGTTTTCTTGAAAATTGCATAAAAACTTCATTATTTAACCATGTTAGAGCAATTTTTAAAAACTTTGTTGTAAATTTTTTAAACTTTAAATTTTTTTAAAAATTTTTAATTAAGAGTTCGACCATATCTGTAGTGGTATTCAGATGCTTTAAGTAAACTTTCTCTTATTATATAAGGGTGGTCCAGTTCCCGAAAGACACTGAATTGAAGCTAAATACACATTTTTGTGAGTTTAATAAAATTAACTAATTTGTGATAACTTTAGTGAAGCCAGTAATCCTTTTGTGAGCCATGCTAATGTACATACTTACATATGTATGTACATAGTACATAAATATGTATCTACATATGTACGTAGGTAATAAGAATGTGTGAACATAATGTTTTATTTACATGCATTCAGTTGCATTGTCTGACCACCAAAATTTTATTGTTTTTTTTTCAATAAATAAATATATTTTTTCGCAATTTCTTCTTTAGGTTTTTTCCTTCCTCTTGTACGAGTATGTCTTCTATACTCACTGGTCAATTTTATTTACTTGTACTTGGTAATTGTCATAGATATGTATGTAAATTTGTAAAAACATTCATATGTACGAGTATATTAGGCATCATTCATTGCAGAATCAGAATTTTTAATTTTTCTTGCGCGCTTTCTTCATTTAAATGAATTCACACAAAACAAAATGTTCGACATCTATTTCGGTGTATTAGCTATTTTTAGCTGCCGTGCCCAGATATCAAACACACATACTGTGTGCATCCATTTGCTTGACGCTTAGCGCTTCGCACATTTCATCCGTAGGAAATATACATATCGTCGATGTTTTTGCAAAACCGTCCATCGACCAATTATAAAACCGCCTAAATCGCCGTTGTGGCAAAAATGAGATTTGTTAATCCTGAACTCCAGGCATCGATATTTATGCATAAAAAACGTTAAATCGTTATTAAAACTACAGATTTGTAAAATAATAGCTAGAGAAAATACCGCCCAAATATCAAGGCAATGCCTTCAAAGAATTTTCGCTCTCCTGTAAAATTTGAGTGCCATGGGCGGTTTTGCAAAAACATCGACGATATGTTTGTATGTCCATGTCGCTAAGCTACAAGAGACCAATTGCCAAAGAAATCAACGAAAATCTGCACAATATAAGAGCGATCGTAGCAAATCTAGCATTGCTCATAAATTCATTCGTTAAAGTTCGGCACACGCATTATTGCATTGTCTGCCTTTCGGCATTTTCTCATTTTCCAAAGATTTCCACACCAGCAAAGTATAGGTGAGTGAGTCTGCTTACATACTACGTACCAACAATTGCACATGAAAATGTGGATTGTGAGAGACGGCGAAGAAAATTCGTTTTCGCTTCAACATAAAAAGCTGCATTCGGCTCATACACGAATATTTCTGCATCTTGTTTTTTTTTTTTTAAGCAATCGTTGCGACGCTGTTGGCTATTGTTGGCCAAGCCTACGCAAGAAAAATGATCTGTTGAGCGAATTTCAACCAAAATATAGTCTGCCGTGGATCGCCGGACCATTCAGTCTTTTCCCGTTCGACTAGTGTTCTCCGATCTGTGAGGTTGCTCGCACACCTATTTTTTAATTCCTTTAAGGTGAGTGCTGCCAGCTAATGCTGAAAAGGAGTGTGACAGGTGCAAATGCTGGAATCTGCATATTTGTTTTTTTTTTTTGTTTTTTTGTCTGTTTTGTTGGTGTGGCAATGCAAATAAAAAACTTTCAACGAATATCAAATGGAAAACGACTTTTATATTGAATGAAAAATATAATAAATGCAACAATGCACAGTAACGCCCAGTTGCAATGCGTTTTTGATTACGTGAAGTGAAGACTGATAAGTAAAAATCAAAGAACGAATGACTTATTAAAAAAAGCAACGAAATTGAAATTAAAATAAAAAAATATATGTAATTAGTGTATAATAACATTAAGTGCATGATATCCGCGTACAACGATGTGCGTATATTATATAGCAATTACATAAGCCTTGTTCGGTATGCAGATATACGCAAATACCTATACATACATACTAATTTGCGGATCGGTTACCTTACGGTGAAGGATATGCGCGCCTACTACATGCACGTCTCTGCACATATATGTACATACGTACATGCGCAAGTTGTTGTTATTTTCTTTGAATGCTTATACTACATACATATTTAAATATATCATCCACGCATACATACATACATACATATAGACATTCATACATACCTTAACTCATACTCACCTAGCGCACGCAAGTAATAGTGGGAATCAACAAAAAAAAAATTAAGAAAACAAAATAAAGTTTCTTTAAAAAAAATTTTATTCTTCATCGCTTAAGTAAGCGCAAGCCAGCAATAGCAAAGAAATAGTATGTATGTACATATGTATGCACATATGTATATGCTGTTGTGTGTTAAGTTTAGCTGAAAATAGAAAATTTCTCTACATGCCAGAAAAGTGGCTGAAAGCAACAATATTTCGAAAGACGAAAAGTGATCGAATGTGTGTGCCAGCGATGCATACTCAGCGGATGTGAGGAAAAATTGAGAAGTTTAAATTTTTTTCAAATTAACACACATTAATTGAATTGGTTAATTACCAAAAAGGAATAAGTCAAAATTTTCCCCTATGACAATTTCGTTTTGCAGTTCGATAGGTCTCTCTAAAATCAATCGAATTGCATCAAAATTGCCATTTCGCAAAAATGTTGAGTTATTCCCTTTGGCATTTAACCGATTAACTTAAAAATGTATTGCTGTTCCAACTCCTGAATACCTTAAATTTCAGTTTGGGGTGCAATAAATTTCAATATTTGCCTGGAAACATAGGAAGCACACAGAATATCACATAAGTTTCCCATTTTCGCTTTCTCCATAAAAATAATTTTAAAAATATTGTTGCTTCATTTGGCAACGTATGTGACCTTCAAATCAAAACAAGTTTGGTAGAGTGAATGGTCATATTTTTTATCTAACTCTACCCTAGCAATGTGACCAAAATCGCCTTCATACAGAAATTTTTCTCAATCGGCGTTGAAATAAATAGGTATTATTTATTACTGCTGGTTTCATGAAAGTGAAAAATTATTTTTTTCGGTCAGTTTCCATATTAAATTCAAGTAAAAAAAATAATAATTTGTCACTGCAATTGCTTTCGTGAAACTGGCTATTAGTTATGGAAATTTTGCTATTTTGACATTTAATGACCGCCTAAGCCCCTTTGACTTACTTTGCTTTGTGACTGAGGGTTCGACCAAAAGAGATGGCAGTATAATGATTTCCAAGGTTAGTGGGGAAATGATGAAGAAAAGAGAGAACAATCGGTCATTTTATTTCTTAGTTTTTAGTCTTGGATTATACTTAGAAGGTAGGCTGGATTTTTTGAAACCTTTGAAGATTTGTTTCGGGGGTCTTTTCAGGATGCTCCCCATTTTTTTATGTTCGGGATTTTTAAAACTTTTGGGATTTTGGGAACTTGTTGAGATTACTTTTGTATTCAGTATTTAGCGAAGACAACGAAATATTTTGATAAGTAGTATTTAGTTCCGTTAAAATAACTAAATATATACAGTGGCGAGAAAAACAAATAGGGAAGCGACCTTTTAACAGGTCTTAGCAAATTTGCTTTTATTTATATATGTAAATATATATATTTTTTTTTTGAGAATGTGTGGCTCACTATTTAACAAAAACCATGCAGGTCCGAATTTATAGCTCTGTACATAAACTATGAAGATTTAAGACATTTTCATCAAAGCTTCATGATCAGATTTTTTATAAAAAATTTGGTATGCAATTTTTTAGCACATTCAATTTTAGTATAGTCAAGTACAGTTTTTAAATAGGTAGGATTTATCTACTATTCATTTTTGGTATTTGTTTTTGTTGAAGGTGCTACGCATTTTCTTCCATGCAAAGTATTTTCGAAAATTTTTTTATATAGATGGAAATGCACAACACAGGCAGCAAGTAAAATTGCCAAAAATCAACAGTAAGTCCCAGCTACTTCAAACTTGCACTTTTAAATACTTAAATTTAATGTGCTACTGCTTAATAAAAAACTTGAAAATTTTTATGAAACAAGTAATTTTTAAACAAAAAACAAAACCGACTTCGATTCTCATATAAAAATTTAAGATTATCGTTGATTTCTTCATGATTCGATGATCGGTTAACGTGGTCCAAAGTTATGTGGTTACATACATAAAAACAACAAAAAAAATATAAAAATTCCGACGAATTGATAGCCGTTCTTCTTTTTGTGAAGTCAGTTAAAAATACTAAAAATTACATAAAAAACGAAAAACACCTAAAACTTGTTTAAATGTTGCTTCCCTATTTGTTTGTCCGCCGATGTGGGATAGGGCCATAATTGTATAGTATTAACATCACACTCGGTATTCAGTAACAGCCATCTCTGTTTTGTATTTTTTTGGAGTTATAAATA